TTGAAAAACTGGTGGATGGTTTTGGAAGTGTCAGCACTCTGCTACAAGTATGCCCTGTTGTTCTGTATGCTAAGGCAGCAGTCTCCAACATGATATTTTCCAAAGTTATATTATTAAGCTTTTATAATTTCCAGCCAGCTTTTCAGTGGAATGCATTGCGTTGGAAATAATATTAGAGTTAGAAACAGCAGTCTAGGTTGAAAACGGAACTTTTTTGCCAACTTCTAAATAATATGGACAGTATGGTGTATAATACATCTTATATATTATAATTTAGGAAAATATAGAATGTTTGGACACAATCAAAAATTGAAACATTCTGCAATGCTTCAATATAATCCCGATGGATAGGCAGCAGAGAAGGTATTTGATATCAATAACGTTACTGGATAAGGTACATCCTTAAAAATTATGCAGTGTTATATACTTCTAGAATTACTGTATAAAATAGTGTATCTTCCTGATATTTCCTGTTGGCTAAATTAGTTTTCTGAAATCTATCATCTTCTAAATGTGCTGGACTTCATCTTCCATAATTTCCAAAAGGAACAAGCCAGACTGATTGATTTAACACAACAAAAAAGGGACAAACTTGAAAAAGATAGGCTAGGTTGTCCTCTGTGTTATATTTTTGTTTGTTTCAACATATTGAACTGTACAGTAGTACAGTTTTAAATTTTATATTTTGAAATAATGTTTAGTATGGTTTACAGTTGTGTTATGAGCAGAAGTTTTTTTTTTAAATTCTGATGAGGAAGAAGGGATTAATGTCACTCTTTCATGGAGACTTTATATATTGATGTGAAATCTTGTATATGCCTTATCAGAAATTGGCCCTAAGGAATTTAATAGGACTTACTTTGAGGTAAGGTTGCATTTGGAATAACTACTTTTAATTCAGAGTACTCTGAAGCAAGTAATGACTTGCTCCAGAGAAGGCATGTATAGAATGAAATTCTATTAAGACAGTTCTGTTACAATGTGCATGTAATGAGGAAGTGACTCAGTTGAAAATACATCTGTAGCAATTTTGTGCTTCTCTAAAAATGATCTAAGAAGAGAGAATTTTTGTTTTAATTTTAAAGGGAGAAAGCACCATTTCAAATGTTAATTTAAAGCTGTGTTGGCAGGCCACACTTTTCATGATTTTGTGAGAAGATAAGAGAGAGGAATTAAAGAGAATGACTAGAGAAAATGCTGATGTAGTTTTTTTAAAGCTATTAAGAAAATGAAGATGAATGCTGTCAAAAACTATCCATAGAAGGTTTTTATTTTAATATTTTGTATTCATTGTATACCTTTGAAGTTGTTTTTCCAAGAAATAAACTTTTGTGCTTTGTTTATTTTCAATTTTTCTTAGATAACCTGTTTATTTAAAAATACCCAAATGTTAGAGGGAATTAAGGCTTGATAATGGATTGTGTCTCATTTCAGAAACCAATTGATTGTATATATGATCACTACTGGATATGGAAGTAGGCTTCCATGTCAAAATTTCTTCCAGACAAGGTAGAAAGGAAAGGTTAGAGACAAATGGGCCATACCTGTTATTGAGGATGTTGAACCAGTACTGGATGATTATCAAAATTTCAGTCAAAATTTAGAAGCTCTTTGATGACCATGTAAGACACATGACCATCAATCATGAAACCTGCAAACTAAGCATGATCAGCATAGAATGTGGACATACATATTGGATTTTAAATATTTGCCAGAAATATGGGATGGAATGATTTTTCTCTGACCAATTTAGAAAAGGATTTGCTGATGAGCTGAGCAATTAATTTGGCGAAACAAATACCCTAGATAATTTGGAAGAACATTCCAGGGTTGCCTGATGATATGTGCAACAGCTTTAACTTTGGGGATTGGTTGTAGGTTCCTTCGCTCAACACTGCTGTAACCTTGAACAATCCCTGGGGACTACCTGAACCCACAACCACCTGGTCTAGGTACAGATGATATTAGGATATTGTTTCTCCCATCTAGCTTCACACAACTTGCAGTTATGGGGATTAGATTTTGGTAATCCTACTTGCCTGGCCTGGAGTTGAAAGAAATAATTGGTTATTAATAGCATACTGATGATTCTGAACCACATACGATTGGATGATTTCACTCAACAGTTTTGTGTAGATGTTGAACAGAGGGGAGAGAGGCCCCATGGCAGTCCACAAAGCAGAGGTCTAGGGAGCAAGCTCTACCCTCAAACCTACACTGACTGAAACTGGTCCCAAAGAAAGGAATTTAATCAAGTGATTGAGATTCCCCTCTAGTAAGATTCATCTCTAGTAAGTGATCTTCCCTACAGAGTACATTTTGTAATTCTTTCATAAGCAAAATTGGCATCCAGAAATACCCTTTGTTATTTGATGGCAGGATCTATGCATGTACAATGCTGCCAATCTTTATTGTTCTTACAGTCAGAAAAATCTGGAGAAAATGCACTACTTTGTCATTTTCTTCTTTGTCCGATTGGGCAATAATTCAGAAAAGAAGGACAGCATCATCAGTGGGGTGCAGATTAATCACATGCAGTTTTGGGGTATGAACTGTGAATCACTCAGGTGAATAATCTGAGAAAACTAAAACAAAAGCAATTTACAAGCAAAAGTTTAAAAATTTACATACAAAATTATTTGTTAAGGGGCAACTTTTTTAAAAAAATTGTTCAAAGCTCCCCCTCCCCGCCCAAAGTTTCAGGATATACATAGTTTGTTTTGTGCTCAAATCACTGATATGATAATTCTCCAGCATGACGAGTGGAGAATCCACCAATGGATTTGCTTCGTCTTCTGCCCGTATAGACTAAGTCAGCCAAATTGCCATGCCCCTCCCCCTGGAGTAGGACCCCAGTCTCGACTTAGTCTTTAGCCCTAGAGGACACACAACTTGGCTCCAGGATCAGATCACCAGATCAGGTCATACTTTAAATTTCTTGACTTTTTCCCAGGAGGGGGTAGTGGAGAACGGGTTTTGTGTCTTCTCAGGCTAAAAACTAAGTTGAGACTGGGGTCCTGCTCCAGGGAGAGGGGTGTGGCAATTTGGCTGACTTAGTCTATACAGGCAGAAGATGAAGCAAAACCATTGGTGGATTCTCCATCGTCATGCTGGAGAATTATCATATCAGTGATTTGAGCACAAAACAAATTGTCATGCTGAGAAAATGCGTTCAGGTAAGACAACGCCCCTTTCAAATTTAAAATATTACAGAACTATGTTTTGTACATAATTGCTGTGTACAAAAGGCAGAACCATTAAGCATCCAGTAGAAGTGTACAGAAAAAGGTATCTGCATAGAAATAATCTAGAATCTCAGTCAAATATGTCTGTTTATACTGACTTACTTATGAAACTAATATTTTATATTGGAGTCTAGAAGTCATGTTTAAGCATTGTATTACCAGGTTTTTGTTATGGATATGTGATCAGATATAAGAATTATTTATTTATATTATATTAATTTATATACCTTTTGGCTTTTTCTTAGCACTTCTATAATTTTTAAAAAATGCTACATTCATAGAGAATGGTTGCGGTTGTATTTATTAGTTCTTACTTCTACAATTTAGCCTTGAATCACTCAGTCATAAAGCTAGATGACTGTGATTATTGGCCTAATGAACCTCTATCCCGAGAAATAGTAATTTCCATGTAAATCCCATAATACCATGATGTACATCTCAGTTGAGAACAAGCTAAACTGCAATCCCCTAGCCTTGCTTTATATTGACCAGCTGTCCATGGTTGCCTGGATTTAATATAAATTTGATCATGCTGATTCAGCCTGTTTTTTTAATTTTGGCAGCATTCAAGATTGTTAGTCTCTTACTTGGAAGTAAGTGACAAGGATATGATGAGACATATTAATAACATCCCCAAATCTAAAGGCTTCCCCCACCCCCAATTTCCTTTAAAGATGAAACCAGGTAAAGAACAAGAAGGAGCCTTCTATACTAAACTTCTAGCAGTAAAATAATCCAAATCAAATATCATTGAATGAGCTTCAAATGAAGGAAGGTGTAGAGGGAGAGCTGTTCCAGATTACCAAGGTCCACTTTATATTTACTAGATTAATATTTTTCATACATTGTTTTCAGTAAAAGTACTAATACAATTGATATTTTCTAGTGGAAATGCATATCTGTTTCACAAATTAAGGCAAATATATGTGTCCCGGAGTAAATCTATGGTTCGATCTCACATATCTATTTACTTGATACTTAACAGAACTTACTTTTGTATAAACATATGTGAGTCACTATTAATATATTAAGCTGAGTTCATCTATAAAGGAAGTTAAGCTTGATATTCTCTCAGTATATTCCCTTTCTGAAATGTGGCCAGCTGGATTTTGTGTATGGCATTAGCCAAGACCTCAAGGTTGGAGGAGCAGGATAGCAGTCATTGGGAATCTCTGTTGATCTTCAGTGGTGCTGCTCCACAAGTTGCCGGTACGAGATCCTATTTTTGAAGATATGCTTCAAAAGCTGCTTACCAACTTTCCTGCTGCATAGCAACTTCCCTGCCTGAGCTGCTGGAGGCCAGCTGGGAGTTGGCTGTGGAGATCCCCAGGCTTGAAAACTTGAGGGAATTCAATTTGCTATCCCTAGGATGGATCTTGGAAGCAGCTTGAGAGTTCATGGTGACCATGGGCCTATCCCACCTTATCCTTTGAGTCTGTCCAGGGCAGTGCAACCATAGCATCACCCAGGACGGACATGTGCAACTTGGTATCTTTTGCCTTTTTTTTTTTTTTTTAAAAAAACCCCTTTATTTTACAAAGTTACTTTGGTAGTGAAATGAGTGGTTTATAAATTTAACAAATAAATGTTTGAGGGACTTTGATTTGGTTAGAGTGCTTTCAATCATGTCAGCACAACAATAGCTATAAATGTGTTTGTGTCTAAGTTTTTTGCTCATTTGGTGTTTTTTTTCCCTGGCATTTTTAAAAATGCTAAAATAATGATCTTTCTTCTTCTTCTTCTTCTCCCTTTCAGCATTCTATAATTATGATGCCCGGGGTCCAGATGAGCTGTCACTACAAATAGGAGACACCATGCACATACTGGAAACACATGAAGGCAAGTGGAGCAAATGTTTCTTTCATAATCATTCTCACAATCATTATCATTTTGGCTTAGTGTGTCTTGCTTATTTTGGAAAACCAGTTCTATTTTGAGACTTAATGAAATATTGAAACACTGAAATGGGCACTAAAATTAACAGTCACTACACTTTAAACAGGCATGTTATAATTGACGAATAACCTTTGTAAGATGCAAATGTCTTTTTTTATTTTTCTGACCAAACCCCCCCCCAATGATTAATATTTGTGTACCTTAATTTGTATGGATCTCTGGTGGTATCCCTTAAGGAGTTAGAAAGGTGATAGATCTTCTTGGTAACCTTGCAGATAATAAATAGAATCCATCTTTTAGAAGGGGTTAATCTTAAATGCTGAAAGTATAAAAGATACTTATCTTCTAAATTACTTATACTCCTTTGTAAAAAACTACATGGTAGTCAGCTATTTCAGAAATAACCTTTTATATGCATTTTCCTCATCGTAAATTAAAGCAGCAAGAATGTTTACTATTGCTAGACGTTTAATTAATGAAATGTATACAGAGGCCTCTCCATTTTGTTTTGTTAGCAGCTCCGTGAAAGTGATTTGCCAAAGTTAAACTCTCCATTCTTGAGTAGGGACTTGTTTCCAGGAATTTTCAGTATTGTAAGATAAGAGACAATTTCTTCATTCTTTCTCTTGTATCCATCCAGCTGTGCTTGCCTATCTTTGAATGTATTATATTTTCAGTCTCCTTGTATCTGCAAATACAATGATGCAATCCTTTAACAATTTTATTGATTCTCCCCTATTACCTCTCCTACCCCCTCCCAGTAAGCTCTTGCTAGAATTATTTTCTTTCTCATCAATATATACATTTGCTTGCTCTTCCTTTGCTCCTTTTCCTCTAACTTTTAGACATAAATGGAAGATGCTTCCACTGATACAGTACTGTGTAAGCTAGGAAAAACTGCTGGCTTATAATATATACAGTAATGTGTCTTTTGGGTGGCAAATGATATGTATTTCCACTTTCATTTTCGATATGTTTTTTTCTAAAAGTCAAGCTTCATTGTTTCATTGCTGCATAATGATGATAGTTATGTGCTAACTGAGTGGCAGCATAAATTAGATTCTGAATGTATGGTTTACGCTCATGGATTCTATGTCATTCTAATGGTCTTATGTGCATAAGTGGACCTATGCAACTCTGTTTTAATTTAATTATTTCTTTACACTATTTCTAAAGTACAATAATTTATTTATTTATTTATTTACAAATATTTATATGCCGCCCAATCCCAAAGGACTCAGGGCGGCGTACAAGGTTAAAAACAGTCATAAAAGAATAAAATAATCCAGTCATACCGCGAGTCCAATCATATCCCGTCCCCCCGGGGACATCAGCCCCAGGCCTGCCGAAACAGGAGAGTTTTAAGAGAAAAATATTATGTCTTTTAGCTCAACTCCTCATGATTTTGTGCATATGACATGTAATTTTTGGGGGGAAATAGTGTGGTGGTGTTTTGCCATTGCCTTATATTTTTCAACTTCTTATACTAAATTTCAGTCATTTATATATGGATTTAAACACTTGGAAAAATGGAATCATAATCCCAGAATGGAAGTTGCATTACAAGACTAGGGCTAAATCATGTCCTCCTCCTTAAAAAAAAGTAATCTGTATGCAAAATTGAAATTGGTATTGGTTAATAATATGTAGAAAAATGATTAGTTACCATAATAAATTATTTATCTTTTTAAAAAGGTAAGACATTTAGTCACTTGCTTCAGTCAGTGTTTGGATATAGGTTTTTTTTTTGTCTTTTTTTTTTTATACTGATTTGAGCTTAATTCTGCATTTAGCTTTATTTTCACCTGTAGGTTGCAACTGTGAAATAGGAGAAAGGCTGTGAGAAGAGAAAATACATTCTTCCTCAGCTGTACTTCCAGTTAATTCTGATGACCATAAAGTTAGCCTTTGGTAAGACTGATAGCAGTAGGAGCTTTTCTGTGAGGAAGAAGGGGATTGTTATTAGGATTAAGATAATATTCTTATCATAATGATTCCTTGGCATATGCTGAGATGCATAATATTAAACCACTATTTATTAAGTCCACATATAATTGTTCTATGTATCCAACCATAATATCACCAATTACTGTGATCTGTACTGAATATAATACATTTTATAATATAAAATGTACTATATATGATTTATATTAGCAATTTTGACCTTGTTCCTTAATATTTCAGCAAATGAATATATTTTCAGGAGAAGGGCAGCTTGTTCATTCTATTTTAATTGCAGCCCTCTTGCTAGAATACTCCAAAGTAAATCAGTTGATGTGTTGATATTTAAGATAACCTTTAAATTACAGAATAAAGTTCTCTCTTCTCTATTTGCCTTCCACCTGCAATAGTACTGCAGCCAAGCTTAATGAGTGGCAATAAAAAGGAGGAAGAGTGTCCTGCTTCTGCTTTCAATTACTCACTTAAACACAATTGCTATGGTGGTTCACAGTTTACTTAAGGTCATGCCAAGTACCAGAAAAATCAAGAGATCCAGACAGTTCAAATGGATATAAAGATTTTATTGCAAACTTAAGCGCTCTATAAGAATCTGAACTACTAAAGGTTAAAGCAATTTGGTGGTAAATAAGGAATTCAAGGTGGACTGGATTTAGACCTCTTATGAGCGTGAGGTGACTCATGACTGATGATGCGTTTGACCTCTCTCTAAGGCTCAGCCTGGTCATCTCCTATAGGTTAAGAGATAACAAAAGCACACAAACCAAATAAAATTTTAGAAAAAATTGCCTTTAACAGGATTGCAGAGAATAGTCCAAATTAAGTCCAAGATTCTGAGAGCCAAGTCATTGTTTGTCATTCAATCCAAAGGTCAGAATTACATGAACAGAATTTACAAAAAGTCACACAAGAGTTAGAGATCAGATTATTTTCAGCAGTGTTACTCCCTTGCTTGACAAATAGCCTGATGTAAAGTCTCTTCTCTCCTCTCTACTTGCTGGGTGGGTGGCAGGCTGGAAGGCAATACATCAACCTCACTTGACTGCTCAAGTTGTCTGGGTGGTGCCTGTATTAATCAGTCTTAGGTGATTATTGGCTTGGTGTCTCCTGAGACTGATATTCCATAGGTTTAGCTTGAGAAGTTTCTTCAGATTCAGAATCTTGAATCCTGAGCCTGAGTCATGACAGAGAGAGAAAACTAAAAACAATATATTAAATGTGGAACTCCTATCAAGAAGCAACCAATTAAAAAGAAATAAAGGAAAGAGAAAAGAATGAAAAGAGAAATATTGGGAGGAAAATAATAAAAGGGGATAGAGGGAGATAGAGGGAGAATATGGAAATGAAACAGCAACAAATTTAAAAAACTGTAACAATGATTACAGAATGGGTAATCATTCAGTAAACCTTCATTTGTTTGAACTCCCTAAGCCTGAGCCTGGCATATATAACAACTTACAGTGCAAAGTTTCTTGCCAAATCTGTGCTGAATGGATATATTTTGTGTGAAAGATCTCCTCCAATTTGTCTGATATAGCACTATGATTCTGAATGTTTATTGTTTGTGAGATTTTATTTTAATTAAAAAGTTATCCTAAACCAGAATGAGCTTGCTAGCAATAAAAACACATGATGCTGATTACTTGCAGATGTGTTGCAGATTGGAACATAGTGAATGAGACATTGCCACTTTATTTCTCAAGTATGGCATGTTGTTTCCACAAATGTGAGAAAAGTTTTAATAAACTGAAACAATTATATTATAATATATAGATAGTGAAGGCTATCTGAAAAATAACTCATAGGTACCACTGTAGAGTTAACATTGGGAGAGGGAAAGGCCTTATCCATGCAGAAAGATATGAGCATGTTATTTGTTTCCACAAAGATGTGAGCAAAGTTTTAAGAATAAACTGAAACTGAGCTATATTATGGACTCAGCAGTTCCATCCTATCTGAAAAATAACTCATAGGTACCACTGTAGAGTTAACATTGGGAGAGGGAAAGGCCTTATCCATGCAGAAAGATATGAGGAAAATAGAAGTAGAATCTAGATTGGGCATCACATATTTGTTTGAGCAAAATATTTCAGTATACATCTTGTATAGATTTTAAATAATTTGCTATAAACCAGGGGTCCCCAACCCCTGGTCTGTGGCCCAGTGCCAGAGCTGTGGTGGTGCAGTGGTTAGAATGCAGTACTGCTGGCTAACTCACTACTCACTCCAGGAGTTCAATTCTGAGCTGCTCAGCTTGGACTCAGCCTTCCATCCTTCCGAGGTCAGTAAAATGAGGGCCCAGATTGTTGGGGGCAATATGCTGACTCTGTAAACCATTTAGAGAGGGCTGTAAAGCATGCTATTACTTTTGCTGGGCAATGGGAATTATTGCCTTTGGACAGGTGAGGTTTAATCTTTATTTTGAATACAATTATGTTGAATAAATTATAATAAAGGAATTTTCTCAGATACTTGTTAATCTATAATTTTTCAGTAAGGAACCAGAAAGCAGGAAATTAATAACTATTAATAAAATCCTCTTATATTTCAACGATACATCACAATTATGAATGGTAATATATCTGGGCAATCTTACTTTCCAATTAGTTTATTGAAACTTATTAAGACATTTTATTTTTTAGGTTGGTATAGAGGTTATACTTTGAGGAAAAAATTAAAAAAAGTAAGTATTTTGTTTCTGTATTAGTGATGTCACTTTTTTAAAAAAGTATAGGTATTTATAGTAATCTCCAAAGTGTTTCTTTATAGTTTGAAACTTTTTAGATAAAGCAGAAATGTTGATGAAATAAAACTTTTAATTTAGTGCTATTAAATATAACATTATTTTTTTTCAAACAAATATTTGTTGTATTTACTTCTTGAATAGTAGTAGGTAGATCCATTATATTTTATATCTCTTCACAAACAAACAATATTGATGACTATTTGATTATTATTTGTACTTATATATTTTTCTTTAAAAATAATTTGAAATTCTGGGCTTCAGTGTAAAAAGGACAGATTTAATTGAAATTGCTTCCTTCTTAAATTGGATAATTATTAAAATATATTAGAAATTGATGACTCACAGTTTATAAGGATAAGGAGGGAGAGTTTATGGAATGAAGGCTTGTCAATGTGATATTTTTATTCAGTGTTACAGTGCATCAGTTCAACATTAGGTAGCCTAAAGTGGAAATAAAGATACCAAACTTTTTCCCTACATACATAGTAGAAAGAAAGTTGATGGAGTAGAATATAAGGCTTATTTTAACTCATTGTTCAAGAGTACTGCAATTTTTTTGGAGCAAAACTGTTATTAGCTTCTGAAACTGATTATTACCAATGAAACGTTCTTTAAAATTATAACCAAAGGCTCAGTAAGGTTGGTTTTTATAAAGAAAATCTTATTGAATACTTTTCATAGATCATCGAAAAGTTAGAAAAAAAAGTATAATGGGTCAACATAGACCAACACTTAGAATATAATGGTCTTATTTGAGATTCTCTTGATATTTCAGATTATCTATCTTATTATTTGAGCCAATTGTTCTGGTGGTATTTGTATTTCAAAATGGATCACTAGAAAAAGATTATAATTAAAAACTCTACTGGACATATGGTAAATAAATAGTAATGAATTTATTTTTCTTACTTAAAAGGGAATCTTTCCTGCTTCCTATATACAACTTAAAGAAGCAATAGTTGAAGGAAAAGGGTAAGTTTTGGGCTTAAAAATAATAGATGAAAATATCAATTATATGATTTTTAATAAATTTTGAATGTAAATATGAGTGTGCAGAAAAAATGAAGTCTGAAATTTATTTTGTAATTATGAATATCGTGGTAACAAAATGACAAGAGGACAGCAACAGCTTGATTTGCATTTGTCCCCCTATGTTTTGTTATACAAAATTAAGATACTTTAGTTGAGTAAACCATTAGTGTGAAAGTTTAATTTCCCTAGTTGATATTCCCTGAAAACCTATGTACAGCATGTATCAATATTTATGAGACTACTCTTTAGTTTATATATTAACACGGGCAGTATTGGGAAACAGAAACAAGGTTCCAAGCAGAATGACTTCTTCTGATTAAGAGTAATATTTGCTTCAAACTATTGGTTTATGCCATGACTATAGAACTTATAGAGGGGAAAGGACCACATTGATAAATTAAAAATGATCGTGGGCCGCAAAGGAATATTTGGTGCACCAGTCAATTCTCCAGCACTGGAGATGGATAATCCACGCAGTGGGTTGAGACTATTCCTGGCCACTCAGATCAGTCAGCCAAAGTTGCCACGCCTGTCCTGGACCACGACTTCCCAGTCTTGATTGATCTGGCCACAGAGACAGACGTACAACTTTGGCTCCTAGGCAGGTATAGTTCCTTTCCATTGGGGGGTTTATTTTCTAGTAGCTGAAATTGCTTAGTTTAAAAGTTAATTAGAGATAATTTAATTCAATTTAATTGATTACTCTAAAATTCCCTTGCTAAATTGTAAGACTCAGGAAGTCAGATTCCCTACAGGGGAAACCACCCTCACTTAAAAGGGGGAATTCCCTAACTCCCCTCCCTCACCCAAACCCCAACCACCCTCCCACAGCCAGAGCAACCGGCTGCCGCCTTAAACAAACGGGGAAGCTCATGCAATCCCTCGCGTTTAAAAAAAAAAAAAGGAAAGAAAGAAAGACAGAAAGGCAAGCAATTAGCGAGGGGAACGGAGGACAAAGGGGACGCATGCTGGGAGGGAGATTGATTACGGGAAACAGCTGGCGAGCGAAGGAGCAGTTTCTTTCACTCACCAGGCTGCTCAGGGTCTTTTAAACGAGGCGCCATTGTCTGGGCAGCTGGGAGCACGCGTGGCTCTTTGTTACAACCGCACGTGGCACCGGCAGCCTTTTTAGCACAGGCGCAGTAGTCTCCTGCTTCTTTAGACATGTGCAGTAGTCTCCTGGCAGCGGCGGCCATATTTTGTGCAAACAGGGGATCCAAGGCTCCCTGAGAAGCCTAGGTCCAGCCGCTGGAGTAAAATAATAGGCAAGCAGTACTAGGGTACTAGAGCATCTATTATTCATTTAGAGACATTCAAATCAGACACATAGCTGCTTGTTCCAGGACTTGGTGTCTTCAATCCAAAATAAATAAGAACCTTTCATAACTAACTGTGTTCAGTTGCTTTTGGCTCCTTCCGGACTTCGGGTCCCCCATTAGTGGCCCTTACGCTTCTGGATTTAGTGGTGGGTTCCAGGCATCCCCAGTCGTGTGCCTGTCCTTACCCACCATAGTCAAGCCGGGTTCCAGGCATCCCCATTAGCGTGCCTGTTCTTATCCGTGCACAGTGACTAACTCTGACAATTTTGCAGAGTCTGCTCCGGAGTTCCAGACGCCCCCTGTAGTGCGCCTGTCCTTACTCAAAGTTAGAGCTCTCCTACCACCTGGGTGCCCCCTATCGCGGCCTGGCGTTAGTGGAGAATGGAGGAAGCAATCATTCCCTCCACTGGAGCCCTGCCTTCATCCTCTGGAGCACCCGCTTCAGAGGATTCGGAATCCTCTGCAGCCCCTAGAAAGGCTGCAAGGAAGTCATCAAAGAAGGCTGACAAGCAGGCAATCAGAAGATACCAAACCCTAGAAAAAGAGTTCAACAGAGCCCAGAAAAGGGCCAGAATTGAAAATAGGCAGAATGGGGGGATAGGTCCCGATCTACCGCTGGGTCTCCCTTCATCCCCACGGGGCGTTTGGTCAATAGGGAACTCATCACAGTCCCAAACAGAGGGCGGGATAGGCGAATTCTCATCGCTTTCCCGATCCCCCTCCCCACAGAGGTTACAGGAAACCCCGAGGACCACGCTAACCACAGCACCTGCAGGGTCGCAGGCAATGGTTACTCCTCCTGCATTGACGGGGGATCTGCTAGCTACCCTAATAGCACAGGCAGTGGACCGAGCATTTGAGGCCAGGGCTCAAACTTCCAAAGCCAAGCCTCTAGGACTTAGAATGAGGCATCGGGAGGAAACGGAGGACCACCAGGACCTCTCCTCCTTCTCAGACTCGTCGGTCTCAGAGGAAGCTTACCTGGACCAGCCAGATACGTCACAAGGAATTCAAATGTCTGAGGAAGAGGAGGACACCTCACCTCAAGGGCCGTCCTTCAGCGGCCTGTTTAACCCTTCTCTATTTGTTACCATTCTGCGCAAGGCTGAGGCCACAGCCCATCTGGGGCATGGGACACCAGCGGATCCTGTCACAGTTGACACGGAGGCTGAGCCAACGTTCGCCGAAAAGGTAACCACTCAACACCGCATACCATGCCCGACCATGTTCCTAAACACAATAAGGAAACAGTGGGCAGCGCCAACCTCCCTACCGCTTCCTAGCAATGCGGAGAGGAAGCTATTTAACGTAGCAAGGGAGCTAGAGGGAACATTGGAGGTGCCGGTGGTGGACGAACCCATAGGTCCCCTGATATCGGACACGGCCATATCAGGAGATTTTGCTGAGGCTCTTAAAGCCGAGGACCGAAAGAGTGAGTCCAACTACAGGAGAACGCACCAGGCAATAGCTTGGGCTACCAGGGCAACTACCTCCGCGTCCTTTTTCACCAGAGCCACACTCTGTTGGCTCCGTGAGTTACAGGGCCGGGTTCCCATGGAGGACGTATGCACTCACCAGGAACTCAGCAAAATGGTAGCGGCCACGGAATATGCGTCGGACGCGACACTTTTAGCGACCAGGTTTTCAGCCAAGGCAATGGCGGCAAACAACACGAGCAGGCGCCTCCTCTGGCTAAAGAACTGGCAGGCGGATACCAAATCCAAGTGGAAATTCGCTTCGGCTCCGTACCAAGGGGCAAAGCTGTTTGGTGAGGCACTAACGCCATACCTGACAGAGAACAAGGACAAGCGCAAGGTCCTTAAACACATGATTAAAAGGCAGGACAAGAGACCCGGCTCCTGGGGAAGGAAACAATCCTTTCGTACGGAAACCAGGGTCAACTATTTTCAAAATTCCCAACCCTTCCAAGCTAGACAGGATAGGGAAAGACAGGGGGACAGACAGAACACAAGACATAGGCAAACGCAGGGAAGACGGCCCTTTTGGGGGAACAACCGCCCCTTCCGCCGTACCAGATGACTCCCACCCAGACCTTCCCATAGGGGACAGACTAGCAGGGTTTGCTCCCCAGTGGGAAGAGACCACCACGGACGTATGGGTTAGGAACACCATACGTCACGGTCTATCTCTAGAATTTCTCTCAAAGCCCCCGAACCGCTTCCGCCCATGCCCCTGTCCCACGAACCCAACAAAGAGAAGGCTCATGAATGAGGCCATTCAGCACCTTCTAAACATACGGGCCGTAGAGCCGGTGCCTATGAACCAGAGAGACCAGGGATTTTATTCTATCCTCTTCGTGGTCCCAAAACCCTCGGGGGGTTGGAGAGCCATTCTGGATCTAAAAAGGCTAAATTTCTACATAAAATACCGCAAATTCAAAATGCAGACACTACGCTCCATCCTTGGAAGCGTAAGGAAAGGGGATTTTCTGGCATCGATCAACCTCACGGAGGCATACTTGCACATCCCTATCTCTCTGGCTCACCGCCGCTTTCTACGGTTCGCCTACAGGGGGCACCATTTTCAATACAGGGCACTTCCATTCGGCCTGTCATCAGCACCCAGGGTGTTCACCAAGATTCTGGCGGTTCTGGCAGCACGCCTAAGAAACGTCCCGGTCAGAGTCCAGTGCTACCTGGACGATATTCTAATCCAGTCATCGTCCGCCCAACAATCTCAGGCGGACCTAAAGTTAGTGATAAAACTGCTGCAGGACCACGGCTTCTCGGTGAATTTTCCAAAGAGCCACCTAACCCCAACTACGAGAATACTTCATCTGGGAGCGGTCATAGACACAGAGGAGTGCAAGGTGTACCTATTACAGGAACGCCTCAGCAGCATAAGAAAAGCCGTAAAACAGGTAAGCCGCGGTCAGTCAGTGACGCTGGTCTGCCTCTCCCAGCAGCTAGGGAAGATGATATCAACCATAGCAATAGTTCCTTGGGCAAGGCTGCACTCAAGAGAACTGCAGTGGTTCATGCTCCCGTTTCAGAGACAGCAACTCAGTGCATCCCGGAGGAGGGTAGGCATACCTCTGAAAGTACAACACTCCCTCAGGTGGTGGCTATCTCCAGCCCTCCTCAGAGGGTCCCCCTTCAGGGAACCAGACAGAGTAGTAGTCACAACAGATGCGAGCTTATTCGACTGGGGAGCCCACTTGGAGACCAAGTGGACACAGGGCCGCTGGTCAGCGGTGGACCTCTGACACAACATAAACTGGCTCAAGCTGCGGGCTATTCATCTAGCGTTAAGGCATTTCCAGAGCAGCATAAAAAGCAGGCACGTACTGGTCCTGACGGACAACGTGACAGCCAAGGCCCACATAAACCATCAGGGGGGCACACACTCTCACTCGCTCTCGGCCGAGGCCCTCCTACTGGGGGCCTGGGCGGAACAAAATCTGGCCTCCATAAAGGCCGACCACATATCGGGGGAGGCAAACATCCAAGCAGATCTGTTGAGCAGATCAACAATAGATCACTCGGAGTGGCAACTACACCTGAGGATCTTCAGGGAGATCTGTCACCGCTTCGGGCTTCCCCAGGTGGACCTATTTGCCTCTCCTTCCAATGCCCACCTAACTCGCTTCTTCTCCCGATT